TTACATTTATGGAAACACTTAGAGAAATTAGCATGTGCTGTATGTTTACTAGAGTCTGTGACCTATAAGTAAACTATGATACAACTAGGTTTTAACGAAGATGCTAATTAGCATCACATTCTAATCTGGAATTTGTCTGTGAGCAGTTATTCAGCCTTAACTGGATCCTGTTACAAGCACCCTTTTGAGGTAGAAGTTTGGCATTAATAACTTAACAGTTGAGGCTAGAGGACACATTTTCAGCAGAAGGAGCTATGTGGGTAATGAAGCTTAGAATTTACTGGAGGTTCGTTTTAATGTTTCTTTTGCTTTCCCACTAATGAGATCTAAATTATGAGACTGATAGACTTTTTTTTCTTTACCTATTATTTAAATGCCAATCGCATTTTAATTTCACATTGAATTGCCCATAAAATATTAAGTAAGGTAAATGCAGCACAATTACCCAACTTAGGAAATGTGATTCTTTTTTTCCTTTGCTCCTAAATTCTTAGCTGGGCTTTGTAAAGAGTTTCCGCAAAGTCTATTTTCTGTAGTTATTTCTGAAATAGTGTTCTGTTTGTATAGCTATGCAGAGGGTACGGTGTAACTCATATTACATAGAAATATCCACTGATTCAATAGTGTCCTTAGGTGTGATACATAAACAAACGCCTGTGTTCATCCTTCAGTTCCATCATCTGTGTGGTTTTCCTAATCTTTTTTTTGTCTATGAACGTGAAATAACGCTAATTTCCATGCTAAGGATATGCTACTCTGCCACTTCTTCTCCTGGCCATTAGTGAGGGAGCCTCTGATACGGAGTCTGTACCATGGATGTGTCTCCTGATGGTACCTTTGTCTTTTCCACACACAAAGTGTTTTGCTTGCTTGCTTAGATGATCATTCTTCCTGATATACTCGTTACTGCCACGAGGCCTTCTAGGACAGCTAGGGCTCTGTTTCATACTCTTCAGAGCTGTTGGAACACAGGCCCCAGCCTGACGGGTGAAACAGTGTAGTGTTGTGATTACCTGGAACCACAAATCTAGATTCTTTCCAATGAATTCAATTGATTTTGATTTGCAGTCCAAAAAAAAAATAAGGTTCTAGAATGTCAGTCATCTATTCTTTCCCATGATCTTTAACTAAGTTATAATGTTACTAGGATGAATTTTATTTAAGTCCAGTATGGTTGAATCACAGTAGAAATAGTCAAAAACCCAAGGTTATAAATTTTTTTCTACAAAAAAACATTCTTACTGCACATGACTATACTAAACTTTTTTCATGACTTGGAAGTAGATTTCCTTTTGAATGTTTGGAAGGTACTGGTCTCTTATAACTTTCCATTCCTCACTCTAGGAATCATTTGCAGTCTTGAAACTAGTTTTTTGGACAAGGGTAAGAACTTAACTTTGTAGCGTAGAGCTGAGCCAATCCATCTCCTCTCATCTTTATAATGTTTTTGAGCTCTGTATACTAAGTTTCTGTTATAGGTGCAATTGAACTTGCCAGCTTACTAATTCTAGTATCTGGCTACATACTTAAAAGGTCAGTTTCTAACAAAATAAAACAACAAACAATCCACAGAATCATGGGACTCACTCCAGGACCTTTTCATGACTATCTCTGGGGTAGATCCTAGTAATAGATGCTTTTATTAAAGTATCTCATGTGACTTGAGTTCAAAGTCAGGCTTGGGAACTCCTGGTGTGTGCTGATTGTCAATACTTACTTGCTACAGTTGATTTCTCTTTGACTTTCCAAATAGTCTATCATGAAGATGTCAGAAAGCTCTGATAGTGATTTATTCATAAAATAATTCTCTGAAAAATTTTTATAATATAAATTGTAATATAATTATGAGCTATAACTTTTACTTCACTATAGCTTTAAATTTTGGTATGTCTTGCATTAAAACTACCTTTGTAGAGAATTTTTCTTCTCCAAATCTCAAGTTTCAGTAAGCTTCTTTTCATCATAAAAAAATTCTAACTTTAACAATGGCTTAAAATATCACTGACACCAAAAGAAGATTAAAAATAAGGTGAGTAAAAATTGATTGTTAATGGTGTCAAATCATCCTCTTTCCAATGGACAAGTAAAAGTTTAATTACCATTTAGAAAGCACATCATACATTTCATCACCTCCAGTGCATCCTGTAACTAGAAATATGTCATCTACTTTTGGAAAACGGACTGAAATGGAATGAACATAAAGGTCATTTTAGCTGTCTTGTTAAGTGAAATCCGTTGATTTGCATGTTTCCAACAAGCCCAGTCTGTTTCTCTGCATCCCATATAATGGCTGAGTACAAAGCAATTTATAACTTTAATTTCTCATCCCTCAATACCAGGCTTGTTTACAGAGTTTGTCTTTAGTTATCTGTTTCCTAGGTTAAAAACATCTTGTTTAAAAAAGTCAGAAAGGCTTTTGTATTTATTTCTTAGTTATGGACTCAGACTTCTAACATGTCTGGAGGAAAAAATCAAGTATATTATCAAAAGTTGGAAATACTTCATACAGAGACTGGTATTTCTATGTGTGTGCGACTATATGGGTGGGTACTTGAAGGGCTTCTTTTCATTAGAAATGCTGTGTGAGAAATATATATGTTCAAAGATGAATGAGCTTTTGCTTGTTCTCAGTTTTCCTGTGATTTTTAAAAACATTTGAAAACCAGGAATGAATGAGATGATAGACTAACACCTCTTTTAGCGACAACATTTGATTCTGTATACTGACTTATTTTGGTTTGGGAATTTTAACTTTTTGTTTTGTAAGCTCACATGTCCTAATTTATCCTTTGTATATCTCTATGGACTATTCTTTAGCTTCTATGCAATTTTTTTCTGAAAAATCAACCAGATACTTTATTTTCTTATTTACTGACTAGCTAAATACTAACTGCTACCCACTCAAAGAATATAGTATTCGCAAGATCCCTGAGTAACATGTGGAATTAGGCTTGGATGTTGTGAATATTCATTTTAACATTTTACCAGTCCACTTTAAGATTTTGCAAGCAAAAATTCCATTACTGTTTAATAGATTCTATTTCTTGGCTGTACAACTGAGATGTCTGCTTCCCTCTTTTTTCCAGCTTAGGGTGCTTTTGTGTGCTCAGTCCAACCCAGAGTGTACATGTTGGAGGCCACATTACCACTGCCTGGGCATCCAGCAGGTTCCTGGAGAAGGAATCTTTAAGGGATAATGGAAAGGGAATGGAACATACAGATAGAGACAGATTCTGCTCCCACCCAACAGGCAGAGGGAAGGAGCATCAACCCAGGGTGCAAAGTTCCCTTTCCTGGGGAGATTGAATACAGTCCTGTCCAGGGGGTCCAAAGAATCTAAAAATTCTCTGGGGTCATGAATAAGGTGAAAAGGCCTTTGGATCCTGTGCTCCTCTTTCTAATGTCATTCTTTCCTGAATTTATAACTTTTCTCTTTCATCTCTTAATTTTTTTCCATAAACACCCTCAAAAAGTATATCCACAAAGAAGTTCCTAATAACTCTTTAAACAAGGACCCAAGTAGAAAATAAAATTGGCATATCCTCCTCTATAGGGCTCAGGCTTTAGAATGATGGTGCTTGCGAAATATTTTCATTGAGGATGAATAATGCTGACATTGGAGCATTAGACACTTGGCTTCTCGTGTTAACACCAACAATGACAACAGCCAAAGGGGGAAAACCGCAAACAACAGAAACTAGCTCTATTTCATATTAAAGAACACTGTGAAGTCTTCAATTGATGGCTGTACAGAACAACGGTCATTACAGTACAGTGCAAAGTATGTTACTACAACAAGGAAGTCGTCAGAGCTAGACGTGAAGTCCCCCTGAGTTTATTACATCCACTAGTGTCAGTCCCATTCAAATATGTTATTACATTTGTTCCCCCACAAAATGCCTGTGAATTAGTTAATTTTGGATCTATTCTAAAGGTGAGCACACCAAAAATTTAAAGGTGACAAATAACTGGTCCTAACAACACACAATTATTACCAAGTGTTATTATAGGAAATACAGCTTGTTCTGGTTTTTGGCTTTTTTCCTTTGGCTGTTATTATGGATGTTAACATGAGAAGCCAAATGAGTGATCCTCAAATGTGTACTCATCCTCAGTGATCTAGTCACATGATCCAGTGCTCTCTCTCTCTCTTTCTTTCTCTTTTTTTTCCTTTCTCTCGCTCACCCTTTTCTTTCTTTCCTCATGGATTCTTATCTAAAGGGTTATTAGGAATTTCCTGAGTTTTTAACTTTTCTCTATTATCTCTTTTTTTTCCATAAGAATCTTCAATAGATTTTCTCAAGGAAGTTCTATTGCTGTTTCTTCATCTTACCCTGTAGCATTAGGTGAAACCTATATTAGTAGAACTATGTTGGGTACTAATAGAATTAATCCTGATTTTGATTTTATTTAAAAGAAGTTTATTATTTGTTAGTTTCTGGTTTGTACCATATGTTAAAGGTCTCATACTGTTTGAAATTTTTAGAGAGAATGTGTTTAAGGATATGTAATTAATATGTGTATCCAATCCAGCTTAAATGTCATCCCACTCACGGAGTTTTTTTTTTTTATTGAATGGTCATGGAGTTTTAAACAGAAATGACTGCTGAATTTTAGCCAATGTTTCCTGGAATTTGTTGATAAAATTATAGACATTTGTTATTATTTGATGTGTTTTGATGTATTTTGTAGTGTTGAACCATGTATGCATTCATAAAGCAAGTACAATTTAGTGGACTCATTTTATATATTGCTAAGTTGGCTAATTCTCATTTCCTGGACTTTAATTAATTAATCAAATTGTTTGTTTTACCCCCCAATAGCAACACCCATACTTTTCCTTTCAGTAATAACATTAGTTCTTTTATTCTTAAACATCTAACTTTTCCTGTGCCAGATTGAAAAGTTCATTATATTTTAATACAACATGTTTTATGCAGGTATTTAGACCTCAGATCAGAGCAACAATAGTAATAGTTGACATGATATGTTCTCATTAGAATTCTACCAAATATATGGCTGGGTAGCTGCCCTCGCCAAGTGGAACACGTAACCATCAAACTGAAGCATGAATTGGGGATTACGGCTGTAATGAATTTCCAGACAGAATGGGATATTGTACAGAATTCTTCAGGCTGTAACCGCTACCCAGAACCCATGACTCCAGACACCATGATTAAGCTATACAAGGAAGAAGGTTTGGTTTACATCTGGATGCCAACACCGGATATGAGCACTGAAGGTAAGGATCAGAAGAATTGTTTTGGCTCCTTGCTGAATGTGTTTCAGAGAAACCCTTGCTTTCTGTCTTTCTCTCTCGCTAATTGAATATCCTAAATACAACTGGTAGAAATGGAATAAATATAAGATGTGATTTAATATTTGATACATAGCTTTGACACTGGCTAAGATTCTGTTCAATGTGATTTCTTTATTTATCAAACATGTATCTGTTGTATATCTACTGTGTATGTGGCATTATGATGCATGTTTGGGAACATAAAGTTTAAGCAGACACTGCCTATGTCCTGATGGAGGGTCCCATAAGGATGACAAGTGGTAATCAAATAACTAAAAATAGAGGCCAAAAACTGTGATGAAATTTTTTTTTGTTAGAAAGATACACAGACATTGTTATGAGATTATATACAGGTAATCAGGCCCAGGAGGGGGTCAAAGAAGATTTACTGGGGAAGTCGTGTCGAGTTCGGTTCTGAGGGTAGACTAGGGGAAGAGTGAATCCTGAGTGTCCCAGGCACAGGAAGCAGCTTAGGAGAATCCCTGTGGCCGGAGAGCACAGAGTGTAGCAGGAACTGGAAGACCCTGGTGCCTGCAGATGAGAGAGTGAGGCTCACAGCCTTGCGGGATCTGGGTCACCATAGGACTTTGGATTCTGTCCTGAAGCAGCAAGCAGCAGCTGAAAAGCTGGGAAGCCAGAAAATGTCAAAATAAATTTTTTTTTTTTTTTTTTTTTTTTTTTACGAAGCAGTTTAGGAGGCCAGTTAGGAGGTTGGTGCCATAGCTGAATGAGCGATAATGGGAGAGAATGCAGCTTGGGGCGGGTGGTGACAACGAGTCTTCACTTATTGCTGAAATGTCTTTGTGGAAAGGGAATTGTGGTGTGGCTTGGGTGGTGCCAGGGAAGCAGAGACAAACAGGGCATAGTTTTGACCTAAAGGTAAAGGCAGTAAGACAAGTTCCAAACTAATTACAGGACAGAGAAGCACGGGCGAGAGGGGAATGAACAGGTAAGGTGCCCAAGAAGGACTGGAAGGAGCGCGTTCTGGTGGGCATGGCCCTGAGAGGGGACAAGTGGATAGATGTGGAGGGAGGAAGGGCATGCTAGGTGGAAAGAGAAGGCCCAGGCACAGAGGCACTGGATTTTAGAAGGATGTTATGTATTTCAGCCTGATGGTAGGTAGAATAAGGTACTTGTAAAGAAATGGAGATTACTGCAGTCCTCAGCGGAGAGAACCAACTTACACTGATAGTATCAAGCACATGTCAGCAGGGAGCAGCAGAGAGCTGTAGAAATGGCACAGGTAAAGGGAGCTTGGTGACCTGCTATTTCTGGGGAAAGAAGGAAGGCAGCGATGGCCAGCTAGGAGATGATTTTATCTGCTGCCCTCTTCCCCCAGACACACATTATGCATCAAACATTCTCCTGGCTCGGCGCCTATAGCTCAACCGGCTAAGGCGCCAGCCACGTACACCTAAGCTGTCGGGTTCGAATCCCCAGCCCGGACCCGCCAAACAACGATGATGGCTGCAACCAAAAAATAGCCGGGCGTTGTGGCGGGCGCCTGTGGTCCCAGCTACTTGGGAGGCGGAGGCAGGAGAAACGCATAAGCCCTAAGTTGGAGGATAATGTGAGTTGTGATGCCACAGCCCTCTTCTGAGGGCAATAAAGGCTCTGTCTCTAAAAAAAAAAAAAAAAAAAAATTCTCCTAAGCAATTTACATGCGTTAACTTATTTAATTCTCTTAACAACGCTCCGGAAAGATATTATAGTTATCTCCATTTTGCAGAGGAAGAGATTGAGGTACAAAAAAGTTAAGTGACCTGCCCTGGTGATAGAACCAAAGAGGCACAGCCTGAGTTTCCATTGCTGCAGACACCAGCTGTGAAGCTCCTCCCTGTGTTCTCACACAGACTGCTCATGCAGATTCTACAGACCAGCACAATTTCAATCCCTTATGTTCACAATCAGCTGGAGTCATGTAAAGCTGTGAGTTGCATGGGAGTTGTCTCCTACCAGGGAATGGCCTGCTGGATGGAGCCCCAAGAACTGCAGGAAACACTTATGGACCACAGGAAACCTTTATGGATCTCAGGTGGTCCTCCTGGCCAGGCTGGGCCCCTTTGTGGGTCTGTATCTGAATTGAACTATATCATTGTTATGGGGTATAATATTTTTCCTGAAGGTGAGGAGAGCTGTTGACAGTTCTGTTACAGATGTCCTCTTGGTAATTTCAGCCCAGGAAGCTTGATTTAGCTATACCAGCTCTGGCTTTTTTCAAGGAAGGGGAGAAAATAATCTTTATTTGTACATAAGAGCATTGGTTAAATCTAGGTTATACTCGCTTGATTCTAGTTTCAAAACATATAAAGTTGTTAAGATAGTAAGAATAACTTCCAGAGAATTTTGATTTTGGTGGCTTTGATTCTGATTTAATAGCATCATTAGCCTCTTGGAATGTTATGAGATGAGGCTGGGCAAAGTTGAGCTACTAACTAACTATGCCAGACATCCCTTCCCATACACTGATTGCCTGAAGGTCCTGCTGACTATTAGATAATTTGTTTGATAGTTTGGGAATAAGCAGACGCCTGAGGGAAAACTCTATCCCTAACGACCCATTGCAGTTGTAGTCAAACCTCTTTTGAGGTCACTAGGTCACCAGGTCCCAGTTATAACAGCATGGCAGCCGAGAACCTTCCGTGCTGAGATAGCATGGCAGCGCAAACACAGCTTGTGAATCAAGGGTTTCTTTGGTTCTGCCTCACCTGGCAGAGTAATCAAAGGGTTAAGAATTTCTGAGTGGCAGGGGGACTTTTTACCAATAGATCAATCTCTGTGGCTCACAATATCAGCACAACGAACATATAGATTAATTCAGCTGAATATTTTTAGAACTCTAGAGAAAAAATCCATTTGGAAGTGTGTTGAGCCACAGCATAATGCTGTCAGATGAAGTCTGAGAAAGCAGACAGTTTCTTAGGCTCACCTGTCACTACCGGTTGTCACAGACCTGTTACAATCAATTGTGCTATCGATCCTTACTCTGGTACGCTTTGTCATACGCAGAACCAGTGGCTTAGATTTCTTTTCCTTTTTCTTATCTTTTAAAAAAATTTTGGTTTGGGTTTTTCACCTGAGAAGTGAAAGTCTCCCAAATCTAGGGCTTCACCTGAGCAAAATGAAATGCAAAAACCTGCTCATTAAAATTTTCTTCACACAGAAAGTATTCAGATTGTGTTTTGACCTCTGTCAGTGCAGTTATTTATAACCAATGGTCTCCCCTCGACTCCCAAATGAGTTCATATGCTTCCTTGAGTCCTCACTTACCCCTCAGTTGTCACAGTCTGAGCTCTTTTCTCTCATTCAACAGTCTGAATTCAGCCCTGCCATCGTGCAGAGATGATGACCTTGGAGCCAGAACACCTGGACTTGACTCTTGACACCACTGAGTCACTGTGTGATACTGACAGGCAGTTCCTGCATTGGGAAAATGGGGAGGGTAATTTCCACATTGTGGGGTTCTAATAATACAGTAAGATAATTGCTGCGAAAGGGCTTTGAAAGCCACAAAGTCGGCACTATATGATTAATCCTAAGTCTTCAGGTTTCCACTAGAGGATGTTAGAGATACCATGAACCTTACCTATATTATACTCCAAAAGTAGGAAAGAAGCTATGACCAAATAAAATAATAATATATTTAGCCATATATCTGCTTCTGGAGTAAGAAAGGAAAGATGAGTGTGAATGTGTGTGTGTGTGCACACTTTAGAGAGGCTGAAAGTTGCACCGTGCACAGTTTCTTTCAGGTCAGCTTTGGATAAAACTTATCTTTAGGGCCTTTGACCACTCCCTTATCTCAGGCCCTACTGTGCCTCCAACCTGCCTGTGCTCTACCGCACCCCCTTCACAGCTTTACCTTGCTCAGTGCAGGCTTCTGGACACTTTTAATCATTCCAGAATTAGATTACCTGGGAGCAGGGTAATCTAGTACCCTCCTCTCATACCCTGTAGGGCCTCAAGTTAAGTTGCAGGGGTCTACTATTGTCCCAGATCAAACAGGTGTGACTGGGTTTTGTTGTTTGTCTTGTTTTTATTCTGCATTGATGGATGTTTATTGGCCAAGTGCACCATTAACCAGGTAGGTGATGGAAGGACCAGCTTACAGGGAGGTGAAGACCTGAGGCTTTGGAATCACAGTGGCTGTGAGTGGTCACTTAGGGACTAGCATTGGGCAAATCTCTGTGCCTCGTAAAAAGAGGATAGCAATAGTGTTGACCTCACAGTTGTTAAGTGGTGGTTGTCAGTGAGCACCTGGCAGCCAGCAAGGGCCCGGTAAATGTTGTATATCCTTAGTCCCAGCAGGATGATTTGCAGTCACTAAAGGTCAGAATCAACAAGGGCTCCAGCTGAAGGTAGACCGAGGTGGGTGGGCACTGAGGCCTGGCTACTTCTCTGGTGTCCCTCTTAGTAATTATCTATACTTTATGATATGTGAATATCTGACAGTTCGTCAGTGGGTTGGTTGGGTGATTCTCGGAAAAGAGTGCTGCTGATGTGTCCCCGTTGTGAAATCCGTGTGAAGCTGGAAGCCTTCAGAGCTTCCGTCTGGGAGCTGACATGTCCCTTCAGAAGTGTGTGTTTGAGATCACAGTGCCTCAAACTAAAACACATCCCTTTTGAATTTCTAACCTGTGCACATGCCTCTTGAAGAATCTTTTGTAGATAAAAAGGAAGGTATTGCATCATCTGGCCCCTTTGGTGCTGACCAGACCTTAGGGAACTTCTGCCCAGAGAGCAGGTCTGGGGAAGGAATTCCGAGCAGGTCCGTGGATGGTCTTGTTTGGCAGACTGATCATATTGAAGCTGAGTGCCAGGGGTTGGGACTCTTGAGTCCAGCAACTCCTACTGCAAATGACCACTGTGGTCTATTCGTACATATCAGACATTTGACAAAAACCTAAGCTAAAAATATTCATATTATTTTAATAATATCTGGAGAGGCAGCCATATCAGGGAACTTGTCAAGTGATACCAGCTGTGCCAGGAGCAGGAAGAACCCTTGTTCCCAGATCTAGATGTGGGGCTCTCTTCCCACCCACATTACTTGGAATAACCTCCCCCCACCCCCCAGCAGAACAAAAGCCTTACAGTTGAGCAGGCCTCTCCCCTCTCACAGGTCTGGCACACCTGAGTGACTTGGCCTCCTCTGATGCCCACCTCAGACGGTGGACCAACCACATGGTGCTCTCCCTAAGATGTAGGGTGAGGTGGCGCACATACCATGCTCTGTCTACAACTTCTTCCATCTCCAGCGTATTTTAGTGCTTCTAGGAGAGCCCCGTGGGTAACTACCTTGCTATACCCTCAGAGCACCCTGGAGCCGGGTCCGGAGATCTGGAGGGGTTCAAGTTCATGGCTCATTTTGGACTATGAAGAATCACATGTGCACGGGCACTGGTGCATCTCCAATCCCAGTGTGCTCAGGGGCCAGGCAGGGGCACAGGTGTGTGTAACATGCACTAGGGAGTGACGGGGCCTCAAGAACTGCAACGTGTGTTGCCCTGAAGGCGTTCCAGCCGAAAACACTTCTAAACTGCTATTTGAAGGCTGTGGCCTTCGCTCTCTTTCAGTAGAGCACTGGCAGAAGGACTAGAATATTATCCCAGCTGCCACGTTGGTGCTCTCAGGTCTCAGAGCTCGGTGAGCCGGAAGGTGAGGCAGATGCTCCCCTGGGTAGGAAGGAGGCTGAGAGGCCTTTTAAGACACTCTGAGGTCTTTGGTAAGCTCCATCCTGCTAACGGTCTGATGCCTGATCTCCCCGTGTGGTGTTGGCTCCTTCAGGGGTGCTTGCATTTCAAAAAAGGACATCTAAAGAGGGAAGTTGAAACTTACTTGAGTGGCTGTCTTGGGAGAATTCTAGCTTAAGGGAAGTTTCGCAGGTGAGATTGTTTGAGAGAAGGGCTTTGCTGCCTCTAGTGAGGATGGCAAGGTAAGGCCAGAGAGAGCTGTTCTGTGTGGTCCCCATAGGATCTTTCTGGGGGGCGGCTGTGTCCCTGTGGAGTTAAGTACTGAGTAGCCCCATCCCCAGCACAGAGTTGTGACCCAGTTCTCTGTGGCTTCTCCTTTCCTTTTCCCTTTGAACTAATTCACATTGACCATCTTCTTCCCCCCAAACAAACAAACCCCATTCACTAAATTTCTCTGTACTGAGAACCTATGAGCAGAAGGCGCAGGCATCCAGGAGCACATGTGACCATGACATTCCTCTGGCCCATGCGATGAGAGGAAGGGGCAGAGTCCCTCAGCCTCCCCAGACACAGCACGTCCCCCCCTCACTGTGATCAGAAGACATCTGAACAATCCTATAATCAGAACAGTGGTCACGAAGCAGCAATAACCATAACCATAACTGCCCAGTAATGTAGAAATTAAATCAGTTTGGGTGCGTATTCCCTTTGTCGCCAGGGAATAAATGAACAGTCATCGGATGCGTATAGAATAACAACTTAGTCATTCCATGGGACAAGTGAAAATTAGTGTGTGTTGAATGAACAAGAATTGATTCTTTTGACCAATATGGACTAATTCTGTGTTTCACATTTACCTGGAAGACACTTTTGCATTAATTGAAATTCAGGTGATTGGGTCTGAGAAATTTTCTTTGGAATCCTCCAAACCTCTGACCAATCTCTGCAAACCCTTCTGATCAAAGTGAAAATCCTTTTTTTTTTTTGACAATTGGCGACAGGTAACATTTCTTTGGAGGGAAATTTGAATTTATGGTAAAGTCACACAACAGAGCAACAGAGTCCGGGGAAGATCTGGAGGGGACCTGTGGCTGTGGAGTGCTTCTCTCCAGTCCCCTTTGTTAGGATCAACTTTGAAATTGTCTCACCTTGTCCTCCCAAACCAAGATGTGAGTCTCCTGTCCCTGCCCGTCCGTCCGTGTGATTGCTGGGGGGCGGTGAGCGGCGGGGTGAGGACTGTCCTGGTACTCACGCGTGTGCGCTGTGCTTCCTCGCCCGCAGGCCGGGTGCAGATGCTGCCGCAGGCCGTGTGCCTGCTGCACGCGCTGCTGGAGAACGGACACACGGTGTACGTGCACTGCAACGCGGGCGTGGGCCGCTCCACGGCGGCCGTGAGCGGCTGGCTGCGCTTCGTGCTGGGCTGGAGCCTGCGCAAGGTGCAGTACTTCCTCATGGCCAAGCGGCCGGCCGTCTACATCGACGAAGACGCCTTGGCCCGGGCGCAGGAGGATTTTTTCCATAAATTCGGGAAAGTTCGTTCTTCCATTTGTAGCCTATAGCTGGCGAAGCTGCCTCCCGTCCCTGCGGATTTCCCTGAGAAGCCTGGGTGACACGTGAATCCAGTGACCTGGAAACACAGATTCTCCCTGTGCGGGAGAGACTGGGTGTCCTGCCCCAACGCCGCCCCCTTTCATCTGAGGACGACTTTCTGATATGCTTTGGTTGGGCTGTATCTTTGAAATATGTTGCAAAGAAAGCTGTGACTGACACAGGAGAAAAAGCCCAAAGCAGCCGGGCTGGGCTTCAGACACAAAGGCAGCGCCTGCCCACCATAGTCCTTTGCTTTGCGGTGCTGCCAGTGTCCCAGGGCAGCACTTTCTTGGTGCACTGTAACTCTCTGGTGTGCAGAAAAAAAGTTAGGGAGTTACGTAGATTGCATCACGTGTGCGTGTGCGTGGGCAAGGGCAGGTGTACACACACACTTGCACGTTGCTCTCCTGCTGAACTGAACTGACCTTGTAAAACAGGAGCTGGTCCGGTGGAGTCTGACAAGGCCGGAGCTCAACACCGCACAAAGCTACCAGCTTTCTAGGCTGTTTTTTATCCTGCTCCCAAGGCATCACCTTCCTTATGTTCTCAACAACCCTGTGACAATCAACATAGAATTATTATCTATCTGTTTTAACTGAGGCATAATGAGTGTAAGCAGCTTGCTCAAGAAGATCTCATGGTTAATCCAGGACCAGCTGGAGTTAATAATCTCTGTTTTGGGGTCTTGGTGCTTTTTTCCACACAACTTGTTGTTTTTCTAGCATCGTGTTGTGAATTCAGTTTTGTCTGTCTCAGAGTAAGGTTGATATCCCTGCAGGAGTTCCTACAATAAGACTTAGGACAGTACTCTGATCAGTTGCCAAAGAATTTAGGAAGGTAGTTGTATTTTGTGCAAACTAGTTTAAAGCACAGTGAGCTAGGTCAAAGCCGGTGTGTCCTGAGCCGTAGCTCTCCAGAGGAAGCATATGAAGTATGAGCCAAAGAGCCCAAAGAGCCAAAACCCACAGATAATCGTTCCACAGCCTAAGACACGCTGGTGCAGCCCTCAGGTTAGGACAATGCACAGCTACTGGGTCTCCACAATTCACAATTTACTCTCCCGGTTTCCACAGGAGACACACAGATGAACAAAACTTTGAAAGTTTACATCCTAGAAACAGACCTGTGTTCAAACAGCTAATACAGGATGGAACAGTGAGTGACATGCTGGAACAGAAAATGGGAAAGGGTCTTGTTACTGAGCGCTCACTCTCTGCTAGGTGCTTTGCAGTTGTATCCAGTTTAATCTTCACAGTTCCCAGTGAGGGAGGCTTCATTATCTGTGTTACGTGGATCAGGAATCTGAGGCTCAGAGACGTTAAATCATCTGTTCATGGTTACATGGTAAATACACGAAATGAGACACAGAGCTAGATTTATCCGACTCAAAGCTTTTGCACTTTTTCTGTTACACTATGTGCTTATTTTTCTGCTCCTTTTCTTCCCCAAATCCGTATTGATAAGTATTACTTTGGTTTAGAAGGCATTGGGCATAGGAAGGACATGTGGTAAGTTTCACTGGAGCTCAGAGGAAAGGGGGGAGGTCTTATAAATGTGGCAGGTAAGGAAGGTGATAGTTGCTTGGGGATGGGAGGGTAGACGGGACATATTTCTCATACAATTTTACAAGTTAATTTTATAAACCAGCATTAAGCAATGTGAAGTCCAGCTCTCTTGCTAAAAATGCTAGAGGTAACTATTGTGTTTAAGTAGATCATAGTTATAATGTGTAAGATTTAATCTTAAAAATGGAATATTTTTAGGGTTTTTGTGTGTGTGTGTGTGTGTATGTGTGTCAGTTTCCTTAACATCGAGGAAATCCAGCTACATAATTTCCACCATAGAAAGACCTTTTTGTGGTGATTTTTTTCATTTTTCCCTTTTTGCGCTGATAGACAAAATCTATTTAAGACTACTGAAGAATGTTTTGGAATAAATTCTCTCTGATCTTCAGTGAATGAGATGTTTAATATATTTCAAAATCACCTGACTTGTTTGTTAAATTAAAGCATTTTTTAAAAGGCCATTGTGTATGGGATTTTTTTGATTTTATCAACTTAGTCTGAAATCTAGAAGAACAAACTGTTTCCTTGTTTTTTAAAGGGGGCAGTCAGCTAAGCAAAATTATTTTTTCCTTGTCACCCTTACACTCTCATTAACTGATAACATTGGCAGTTAAATGATAAAGGAAGTTGAAAGTGAGGGAACCACTTGGAAGGAAAGGTGAAAACACTGGGAGTAGGTCCGAGCAAATCAAAGCTGCTTGTCATAGGCAGTAACAAGACCTTCCAGTCCTGGGTTTCTCAAAAACGATCATAAGATCTCACTCTTGGTGAAGGAATGTCCATACAGGGTTGCTTTGTCTGAGATTTGAAATATTATCCCTTTCTTATTTTGTTTTCCAGCCTTAAGAAAAATCAAAAAAACTAAACTAAACTAAACGACAAACCACTCTGTTTTGGCCAACAATAAGGAGGGGGAAAGGTAGAACCACTTGGCTTGGCCTAAGAAATAATGATAGAAAAAGTGGCTTGGACTTTGGAAATGATAAGGCAATAATGAAAAGAGAGATTTGAAAGCAAGTTAAGACATAGGAAATGAAACTTGCCACACTTGAAAAATCATTAGATAGCTAAACATAGAGTCAATTAGGTCAAAAGTTAAAACCGAGAGTATTTTTAGAGATAATCTAATCTCATGCCTTTATTTTACAGAGGAGCAAACAGACCAGAGACAGAAAATGCCTCTTTCCTGTAGCAATGAGTTGTAACTGAGGACCAGAGGAAAAGGATAAGTCAGGCAGATAAGTCAGGAGATTTATTGTGAGGTGGAGGAATTGTAGGAGAATTAATGGGAGCAGGAGCAGACAGTATCGTTAGTGAGGAAGAACTGGTGTGAGGATTAATGGGAATTGGAGGAAATGGAAGAAAAATGGCTTAAGTGAGAAAAAGCAAAGACCAATGTCATTTCCGAAGGTGGGGGAACCCAGGTGCTTTCTGAGGGTGGGGATTGAAAGACAAGGCATGACTGTGGAAGCAGAGAGGGAGAGTCAAGGTTATGTGCTCAGGAAAGAGGCGTCAAACAACCTTCCTGCCTCAGCCTCCCCATGTACCGGATTATGGGCACAAGCCACTGTCCAGTACAACCATTATTAAAGAGTTTAAAGAGTATGGAGTTTCCTCACAAAATAAACATAGAATTACCATTTAATACAGCAGTTCTTCCGGGTGTATATCCACGGTAAATAAGGTGAGTGTCTTAAAGAGATTTCTACACTCCCATATTCATTGCAGCATTATTTATAATAGCCAAGATATGGAAACAATCTAAGAATCCAGTGATAAATACATAAAGAAAATGTGGCATTTATATATACAATGGAATAGTATTCAGACTTAAAAAAGAAAGAAATTCTCTCCTTTGAAACGCATGGATAAATCTTCAGGACGTTATGCTAAGTGAAGTAAGCCAGACACAGGACAAATCCTGCTGATGCTTATTTCTATATGGAATCTAAAACCACTCAAACCCATGGTGACAGAGAGTAGAATGGTGGTTACCAGAGGCTGAGAAATGGGGAAAAGGAGAGGTACTGGTCGAAAGGTACAAACCTTCAGTTATGAGATGGGTAAGTCCTGAAGACCTAACGTACAGCATGCTGGCTGTAAGAAAGGATGCATTACATATTTGACATATGCTAAGAATAAAGTAGATCTCAAGTGTTCTCACAGCAAAAAAGAAAAAGTAGCTAAGTGAGGTGATGGATATGTTAAATTGCTTGATTGTGGTAATCATTTCACAATAGATATATCTGAAGACATCATGTTATGCACCCTAAATAATACAATTTTTATGTGTCAATATACCTCAACAAAGCTGGAAAAAAAAAGATTTCTGTCATTTAAAATGGAATAATAGACAGTTCGTATTAAGTGACCTGGCACAAGAATGGAATGGATTAGAAGAAGATACTTAGCAAAACTGGACAGTGAGAAAATACAGATCTGGACCTGGAACAGAGCTGAACAGAACAGGTAATTGTCCATGACATGCCTTTCAAGACATCATCAACTCTTAGAAAAAACTCAGAACGCCCAGTATAGAATTAACTGTTTGCTGTATATGATTGGATAAAAAATGGAATACATTTTTCTTCAATAGAGATCCTTATTGCTGTCTCCTTAAAGTGAAATGACAAATCCAAAGATGGATATATAGTATAAACAAATTCAGAAAAGATTGTATACAAATAAGTAGACAAATAAGCTGAGTATTCCCCATTCTGTACAGAGTGGTGTTTAAACAAAGCCCATTACTGCCCTGCACCTCTCATGTTTCAAGGGTTTCAGAGGCTTACACCATTTATGTTTATTTTAATTATAGATATACTTGGACTTTTTATATTTGTTTAATTTTTATTTCAAATTCTTATTTCTATTTGTTTATTTTGACCTCACTTTTGCATGTTCTTTGTTTCCTTGTTTGCCTTTATTTTTGATAATTATAACAAAAGAGCTATTAATATTGACTTTTATCTATATCTTTCATGTTGACATGATTATAATTAGAATTATGAGTTGTTTTAGATATACGCTTTCTTTTTCTTTTTGTGTCGTTAAATTGTTTCTAAGTAGTTAGGGGAGGCAAAAAAATAAATACTGATGGGGACCTAATCTTTATTTTCAGACAGACCTGTGATCACCATCCTGGCCCACTTTTAGCTTTGTTTCCCAGGGCTTCCGTTATCACTGAGGACTTTTAACCCAGTGACTCCCACAGTCCAGGGAGAATATTACGGCCCACTTCTCCTGCAGCATTGCATCCCCTCATAATGGATTCTGAGCCACATCTTCCTTTGCTCAGTTCATCCATCAACTCACTTCCAAATCATTCTCTTACAGTGAAATATCTTATCTGCTGGTAATCCTTCTTAACTGTCTCTTCATTGCTGCAAATGGATTTCTGTCTTCAAATTCTACATTGTAATTTTCATTCAGATGTCAGGAGCAATCGTGTGTTTGCCAATTTAAATCAGAATTGTCCTAGTCATTCTATATCCCATGACACCCACCTCTCAATCCCCATTGTAAAGCTCTTTTCTCAGTGCCAAGCTGTTACATCTCCCCACACACATCTCTCAGGATATCTCCCAAACTTACTCCACAAGCCTTCTGGCAAACCTCCCATACCTTGTCTGCTGGCAAATGTTGACAATATCCTACCCCTAGTTGCCCAAGTCAGAAACTCAGATGCCAGTTTTGCCATCTCACTTCCTAACCACTCAAAAACTTGTTTCAATTATACTTCCTAAATGTCTCTTCACTACAGTTACTGCCCTCTGTCAGCTCTAACCTGGATGACTAAAGCTTCTTGATTTATGGTCCTATTTTTATTGTTGTCCCTTTCCAGATCATTCTTGACACTGCTATTGAAAAACCTTTCTAAATTTCAAAGGTGCTGTTACTTCCCAGGAAAAAGTAACAAGTCCGTAACGTGACAAATAAGACCCTTTACGTTCTGGAATGTGCCTTTCTCTCTCATCTCCTTGACATCCTGATAACTATCCCCCAACAGGGCTCTCCAGCCACAGAGAATTACATTAGACCCATGACCTTTTTTATCTTCTGTTTTTTGCACATTCCTTTCCCTCAGCCTGGAATCCTCTTCCATCCTATATATATCTGGAAAGCATTGGATTATCCTTTGGGTCCTCAAGGTCACCCTCTCTGAGATGTCTTCTGGGATCCTTAAGCTTACTCCTTCCAGGCATGTCCATAGGATCCTCTAAATATGCTAGAACACCCCGTACTGTAACATCATTAGCCAGGAACTGTAAGTAGTGCTTAGCAAACATAAGCTTTTGCATATACTTTCACATTGAAGCCAACTTCTTTTTGGGGGTTCTGTGCTCTGATGTGGTGTATATATTAATCTGATAGAAAGACAAACAAAATATTTCCTGAGAACTTTTTTCATGTAAGTTAATAATGGGGTAATTTATTCAATGAAAATACAATTAAAGACATCATTTTAATCTTTTAAAAAATCATTTTAGTAACATTTAATCATTTTAATCATTTTAATAACCATTCCTCTCAATATATATTACTACTAATATGATACTATCATAGCAAGTATCATATATCAACATCAGAGAGCCATGATCCTATATGATGTTCTATCACATTTTTAACATTTTCTACCTATTCTCTTGCTAAAAATTGCATTCATTAAGTCCCCTTGTGGTTTGCCATCATTGGCTAATACTGATGGCCTTCAAAAAAATTAGCCTTATAGTAGACATTGCTATGTGTACTAAGTGTATACACACACTATAGCTGATTGTACTTCATTTTATTGCACTCCACAGCTAGTGTAATTTTTATGAATTGAAGATTTGTGATAACCATATGTCTACCAAATCTTTAGGCACCATTTTTCCAGCAACTTGTGCTCACTTCATGTCTCTGTGCCACAGTTTGGTAATTCTCACAATATTTCAAGCTTTCCCATCATTGTTGTATCTTATGGTAATTTGTGATCAGTGACCTTTGATATTACTGTTGTAATTGTTCGGGTCACCTCAGACCACATTCATGTAAGGTAGCAAAAGTAATCCATAAATGTGTGAATTCTGACTGCTCCATGGACTGGCTGTTCCTCAATTCTCTTCCTCTTCTCAAGTTGCCCCATTCCCTAAGACACAACAATATTAAGATTAAGGCTGTTCATAACCCTACAGTCATCTCTAAATGTTCAAGTAAAAAGAAGAGTCACATGTCTCTCATGTTAAATCAAAAGCTAGAGACGATAGTACTTTCATTGAAAACTTAATGAGGAAGGCATGTCAAAGCTGATGTGACAGCTAGGCCTCTGACTCTAAACATTTAGCCACATTGTGAATGCAAGGGGAAAGTTCTTGGAGGAAAATAAAATGCTACTCCAGTGAATACACAAATGGTAAGAAAGCCAGAGTCTTACTGCTGATAGAAAGTTTTAGGTT